TCTTTCACTAAAACAATGTTTTTCAAGAACGTCTGAATCAAATCAAATGCATATGAACTGAATCAGACAAACAGAATCAAACTGAAAGTTTATCCACTCAAATCAATAACAATACCGATTCTATTCTTGGAACAAGCAGGTCCGTGGCTCTGACAGCATTACGAAAGTATGGATCGTCTTTAACTAAAACTCCTATCCTTTTCTTGCTGTAGTACTGCAGTAATGAGCAAGGGAATGTCACCACCTCCCTCTCCTTCCCTCCTTCTTCCCAGAGGGCGCATGTATTTTCCCTCCCTTCAGGTACGAGCTCTGGGGGATCAATACCCACGGCAGTGGAGCGTTCAATACCTCTGAATTATTGCTTCATTCTTCCCCCCTTATTATAGATGAGTTATTTTTTCCAAGCCACACCACTTTAAGATCAATAGAGAACAATCTTATTCTTGTCTTTCCCCCTCTCTTATTCTACCACACTTTTTTCTTTCTAATGTTGCATCTTTATTATAAAAAACAACTGGCGGTAAAAGAGATGTTGGAGGAAGGTGTAAAGGAGGTGCTGCTGAAGTACGCTTTCTTTACAGAATGAAGGAAATGTTTCTTTACATGACAGAACTATACACAAATATATAACATGTAGTGTGTTGTATTTTAGACTCGAGCAGTTTTACTCATTACTTTGAGAAACACAAAACAATTCTTGTGTTTTTTTTCTGCTTGGTGTGCTGACTAATAGCGTATTTCTATTGTGCTCTTGTTTTCACTGAGGCTGTGTTATATAATAAAGCCTCAAAACTTGTCCTTTGGGGTCTTGTTAACAGTGTGTGTGTGTGTGTTGGTGTGTGTGATTCATCTACCATCTACAGCGCTACTGGATGCAATTCTAGCCGTTGTGACCGCTGCAGAGATATCTGGCTGCAGTCCGATCTTGCAGTTACCTGGAATTGCCTGTAATCTAATTGGAGGTGTTCGTCCCTTCCGACAATAAAGCATTAAGTTGGTAGCAGTAGATCCTGCAGAATTTTTAACATCACCAATTACTGCCTGTCAAGCGAGCAGAAATGCTAGCAGAAAAGGCGCTTTGCTATTAAGAGGCGATATTCGGTTAAAATTATTGTAAAAAAATGAACTCATGCATTGTCACGAATTAAACTTCCATTCTGTTTTCTACTATTCTTCCCACAGTGCAGTTTTATATAGGATGCTAGTAGAATTCTGTCTAAAAGTAAAAAAGCGGACAATCAACATGACATCAAATTAAAGTTAAATCTAATTTTAAAACTATAATATATTGCGATAATATTTTAAAATATTATTGTAATTTACAATATTTTATTTTAATTTACATATTTACTATTTATTTGTTAGATTTTTTTCCCATCTAAATGTAACAAGTTATCCCAGTTCTGAAACAACATTTTGAAACGACACCAATCACATTATTTTTCAAATGCTTCCCACCAATCCCTCGCTTTTCACTGTCATATCAATTTCTGATTTGATTGTTTCACATTGGAAATATGTTCCATAATGCAAGTTAAATGTTCTACACATGCTTCTTTATGATAACTCTAAAGGAGAGTAGTGGTTTGGCATCACTGTTCTTACATAAGGAATACAACAGATATTAGAAATATACATTTTAAAATTATCAAATTAAAGAAAGTGAGTGGAATGATGGACTGAAGGGGAAAAGCACGGCCTTTCTGTCTCAGATCTGTTTCCCTGCGGTTCTTGTGAATGTTACGGCAGGATTTGTCTCTGTTGCTCCAATGGTTTATCGATTGGAACTTTGCACTTCCTCCTAACAAACACACGCCGCTGACATTCAGTTTTAGAAGTGACACAGAACCTACACTGTCAATTATATGAGATGTATTAGTTTGTCCCCAGGGATCTGTATATGGTGTCCAGTACAACTGAAACACAGAATGAGAGTGAGACAGACTGAAACAAACAATCCTACTGAAGAAAAACTAGCTTAAACCAGACTAAGGTGGTTTGCATTTTGCTAAAATGACATTAAATATGAAAAATGGATATTCATTTAGAGATTATTTCATTCGCATTCAACAGTGTTATTTAATTATTAGTGTTTTTAATCTTTAAATAAGTGTTACAAGGTCAGCTAAATGTACAAACAGGAAATAAACATGAACAATTCAATTCCTATAACAAATTGAGTAAAAAAAATCTAAAAAATGTTTGGCTGATAACCAATATTGTGGCAAAATATTGCACATTCTTAGTCTGGTGTGGTTTTAGATGGGTTTTGGACAGCTGGTCAAGCTAGTAGACTAGCTAAACTAGCAGAACACCGGCTGATCAGGTTGGGAGATCAACTAGACCAACTTAAACCAGACATGAACTACCATAAGTGGTTTAAGCGGCTTTTTATCAGGGAAAACTCATGGAGGAGCATGCACAGAGGTCTAAGTATCTCAAGTGTATTTATTTATGTTGTATGGGAACAATACATACATTATATATATATATATATATATATATATACATATAACAATACATCTATAACTCTGCTGCTCTTCATCTAGCTGTGTTTTGTTTTAAAACTTTATTGTGCTACAAAAAATCTAAAACAAAGCTTGACCTGTATTTTTCATGTAAAACACAGGCCAAAAGCACAGACTTTCTTGTGTCATTGTCTGCAAGACCTTACGTTCACCCTACGTTCTTGTTGTGGTTGACTGATTTAGCCATTTATGGATTCCGACTTCAGTTGTAGTTTCCAGGTAGCCATTGATTAATGCCTGGCCAGAGCCTGGCGGGAGGCATCCGTGGCTTTGCCTGTATTGATTCAATTAGTTCTGAGGGTTTGCTAGTGTTCTATGCAAATAGCCTTTGCTAGCTGTCTCGGCTAACAGAGGCTGATTAGCATCGCCAGCTGTCTGCTGGGTACTTCTAATACCCATGCCAGCTGCCATCATTGTGTGCCAGTTGCTTAACGACGGCGATGCCCCGAAAGGTGCCAACTTGAGTTAATTTTCAAGAGTAAGGTACATGATTAGTTGAAAAAGCTGAAGGTTACCTGTAGCACAGCTATAAGTTTGACGATTTATGCTCAAAGGCATGAATTTCACTGCATTTGGTTTTATTTCCAAATAATTTCTGCCCGGCGTCTGAGAGAACCATCTGATATTCTCATAGCAGTGGGTGAAAGAAATAAAATAATAAATGTGCCATCTGTGTCTTCCTTTGAGTGTCACTGCTTGCCACCTACAACACTGATACCATGTCTATCGTGGCACTTAACTTCTGTGGACGCACATACTGTTTCCTTCTCCCTTCCTCACTGGAACGAGTCAGTCGCCCTCTCACAAGATCCATCTGTGCACCAGATCAGCTATTTTCTCTTTTAATTCGCCTTTGATTTAGAATCACTTTCAAGTGTGTCCTCTTGTTTGTGTGGGTGTGCGTGATGATTTTACAGCAGCGAGGAAGTACAAACAAAAAGCAACAGAAAAACATAACCATGAAATTAGCCAGCGAGCTGACCTTTGACCTCACAGAAGAAGTAGGCATTGATCAGGATGGGTATGAGGTATGACCAAAGCGCAGTCACGGTGCTTCATGAACGCTGGAGTAATTGGTGACAAAAGATCAGCTGTATGTAGGTCTACTAGACCAATCTTAACCGAGGCAGTATTGTGTTTGTTTGTATATTTACTCATTAACAGTTTCATGTAAGCTGCACAGTTTGTTCTGCTGTTTAAATGGCTTCAATATGGAGGCCTATAAAATGCAGCTTGTTTTCTTCCTTAATTGTAACAGGTTTTATGAGCATAAACTGTTATATTTTCTCCATCAACAGTAATTAAGCTAACAAAGCTGTACTTCTGAACAGAGCGTGGTTTTGTGTGTGGGTGTTTGTGAGAAAATTCAACAGCAATTCTTCGTATATAGCAAATAATTCTATATATAAAAAAAATCATATACATATACATTCAAAACTGAGAAAATTTTTATTTAAAAATCCTTTGATTATCTCTTTAAATAAATGATTTATTTATTAAAAGAGATATGCATGTGATATTATCCATAGGATATATAGTTTATAAATACATTATTGAATAATAAAAATTAATTAAATGAATTATCCAATCATATTATCCTATCCTAAATTACCCTATTCATAGGATAGAGTTTGGAGTGGTTGGTTAAAAGGCTATTATATTGGTCTTTTATATTTTATATTATATTTTTTGGCCTATTATGCTCTTTTACAAAGTCTTGATTTTGTTTTGGGGGTGTACTAGAACATGCTCTCATACTAGGTTGTTCGAAAAATACATTCTTTTTCACATATTTAACATTATTACAACACCTCTCTCCTCAGTCTGGCATGAATGGCTCGAATAGTTCCTGTATCAAATGAAGGCCCGCCTTCTGAAATACGAAATGTGCTGTGATTGGTTAGCTGGGCCAGTGTGTGTTGTGATTGGCTCCACTCGGCGCCTGGTCGGGAAATGTCACGTCCTTTACCATAGCCGCCTGCGAGCTTCAATGTAAATATTGCGTCAAAATCAAATCAATTTGAGCGCGATTTAAACCCGAATGATTGTAACCACTCTAAGTTCGTCTGCCTTGGGAAAGCTAGCGTGTCTCCGACATGGTGATAAACACTCGTGGCCTTCTCTAGTGCAGCTCAGCCAGGTCTCCTCCCATTCGTCGATATTTGTGATATCACAAATCCCGGAAAATATGCGTTGTAGTCCAAACGAGTCGTTCGTTGTAGTTTTTGATTAGTGATTTCTGTTAAATAAAATATCTCCGTTTGAAGTGGACTTTGAGCTTTGTAACTTTGCAGATCTTTTTTATGCTCAAACAGCAACATTACAGACTCACTAAAGTTGAAAAAGTGAAAAAGCATAATAGGACCCCTTTAAAACACTTGAAAAAGTAAAAGCGCACCTCTTCTGTGACCAACCTGTTTTTATGAAATGATAATGTTGAAACAAGTCAAAAGTTTCTTGTTTTAAGCTTACCAGTGTAGATGAATCTTCCTGGTGTGCCTTTGCAAAACTGTTTGGACTTATAGGAAAGCGTGACCTCTACCACCCCCGGGATGTGACGAGGAGGGGTCTGAACTCTGATGGCATGAGGTGTGATGAGCTGTGAGGAGAAAATGAGATAGAGAGAGGACATTAGACTCAAGGAGGTCTATAATACCTGGAGAAAGCATTTCCATTTCCCTCAATGGCAGTTGCTCAGCTGGCACAGGAAGTATGAGAATTAAATTCTACCATCTTTGACAAAGGGTGCTCAGTTCTGCAGCCAGGTTGTTTTGAGCCAATCATTAAATGCCATGTGACTGACTAATAGCTCTGAAGCTGCAGGAAAACAATGTCAACAAACACAGTCCCCAACACTTTTGTTGGCAGATGCTAGTTGCGTTTTGTTTGTTCATTTTCCCTGGTTGATTATGTTCTTTGATCCAGTTCTGATCAGTAAACAATCTGACTGTGTGTGTTTGTACATGTGTGAATGAATCTTGTCTAATCAGTATCAGGCTGTTTATGGTGGGTGGTGAGGGGATGGCGCAGATGAAGGCTGGAAGAGGACAGGTGGAGCTCCTCAGAGACATAATTAACAGCACACTGTCTTTCAGCATCTCACAGACTATATGCTTGTGGTTCATATGAGCTGTTGTCTAAAGCATCTTTGAACATTTGTCTCTCATAGTCATAAACTCAATTTCAAAACAATAAACAAGTGAAAGTAGCAGAAAAAGTAGTTGTGGAATGCTAGTGTGCTATGCCAAATTAAGTGTTGACAGCAAATGTAATCCAGTCGATACTATCACTAAAAGAAACACTAAAATATTTCAATCTAAATAAAAATATACTCCTTTACCCAGTATTTATATGGTTTATGCTTATTAGAGTATCATGTCATTAGCTTAGCAATATGCTAATGTCAAACGGTTCTGGAAACAACTGTGAATTAATTGTATATGTGTGGTGTCTCTGAGTGTTCCAGATCGTTCACTTATGACGAGTATGCAAATGCAAATGTTTCGGCAACGCCAGTGCTATTTGAAAAAAAATAATAATTTGGTAATTAAAAAAAATAATAATGATAAAAATACAAATAAAATATAAATATTACACAAAAAACTTTATAAATTACTTTAGAGCTAAATAGAAATATTTAAATAATAATAAAAAATATCAAAAGCAAATAACAAATTTACAAAAATGTAAACTAAAATTAAAATGAAAACTAAAAATATAAAAATAGGTTCATTCAAAATATTCATAAATATAATAATAGTATACAAATAATACTAAAATAACAACACATTGCAAAAAAGAAACAATAAACACAACTAGAAACGACATACTTACATGGAGCATGTTTCGGACTTTACACATATACAAACACAGCATTAAAGTAAAAGTATTCTGTATACATGATCCGAGAAAGGAAGTTTAGGTAACACTTTAGGTTAGGGAACACAATTCGCTATTAACTAGTTGCTTATTAGCATTCATATTACAAGCATTGTTTATTAGTACTTACAAAGCACATAATAATGCCTCATTCTACGTAACCATATTCTAGATCCCTTAAGCCTGTCCCATACCTAAAAACGACCTTACTTGCTATCAATAAGCAGCAAATTAGAAGTCTATTGAGCAAAAATTCTTAGTTAATAGTGAATGTGTTCTCTAATCTAAACCGAAGTTTAGATTGAATCTAGTACAGTCGTCACAGTATGTACTCTCTCTGGTTAGTTGCTATTTGCTCATAACTGTCCATTTGACTACTACAGTACGTACTGCGCATGCTATAGAAAGACACGAGGGCCATTAGGAGTCCACAAAAATGTTAATGTTAATGAATGCTGCTATTTGAGAATGACAGACAAATATGACTGTGTTCAGAGGATGGTGAATGGGTAGGAGGTGAAGAAGTGAAAGAAACATCTTCCTTTGACCCTCCCCTGCTCTCATTCTCTTCCTCCCTTGTTAGATGCTATCTGTGGTAATCAGATCCCTGCTGGCACTGCAGCTGAAGGAAACTACGTGGCTCTTGATGGGCCCCCCGTGTACAGGGGGTCAGGGGGTCAGGAGATAAAGGTCACAAGGTTATGAGGTCCACAGGAACCGCTATAGGGAGATTTCAGCACAGTGTATTAATCGTTACCAGATGTAGTTCATCATAACCCCCCCCCCCCCACACACACACACACACACAGTCATTAGCTCGTTTCTCTGGTAGCTAATAGCACTTAGCAGCAGCAGATCAAAGAGGTTAGCTGAATATGCAGTGGGAAATTTGTATCAGGGTTGGTGCTTGATGAACACTAAGTAGTGCTCATGAAAAGTGGCTGTCTGAAGTGACCCATAACCCCCCCCCCCACACACACACACACACACAGTCATTAGCTCGTTTCTCTGGTAGCTAATAGCACTTAGCAGCAGCAGATCAAAGAGGTTAGCTGAATATGCAGTGGGAAATTTGTATCAGGGTTGGTGCTTGATGAACACTAAGTAGTGCTCATGAAAAGTGGCTGTCTGAAGTGAGAAGTACTACAAAACACTCCAGATCAATGTGTTTGTGTATGGGATTCGCCACCACTGATTTGAGCACCTTTAAAGCCGCCGCTATTGAGCAGTTAGCCTGTGTTACACAAGCTGCTCAATTTCTTATACAAAGCCATGTCAAAACAATTGAGCAGCTATTGAAAGTATCACATTTCTTAATCACTTAAGCACAGTAACTTAATCACCTGCATAATGTCGGCCTAACAAAACGCTAATGTTTTCTGATAGGACAATTGGAGCCTTTGACAGCTTCGGGAAAGGTGACAGATATAACTGCATAAAGATTTAATGACTTAAGTTTTAAATAACAACACTGGAGGAATTTTATTAAGCTGACCACCTGTAATGTTGCATTTAAGATAGAATTTATACTAAACTAAATTGAGGCTATTTGAATGTTGAATAATCAGTTAAGTGTGCAATCATTTCATTTTTTAACATAATATGTCAGGAATAATTGACAACGGGCCATTGAATTACTACATACGTAAGGTGGCAAAGCGGTCATGACACAAGCATGCATTAATTTTCAATAATTCATCAGTCCAAAGAGTTAAAATGTAAATGATTCCGCTAATGCCATGTTTTCCACATGTACATGTTTATGTAGTGTGTTTAACTCTTGTTTAAAACAGCCTTTTAAACAAGATATTACTTGTTATTAAAGAACATGGTGAGGTGATAAAACAAAAGTACTGTGGTCAACAATCCATTTTTTTACATATTTGGATAAATATGGATGCACTGACAGGATCTAAAAACGTATGTATGGAAGCTATTTTCCAACCGATAATTATGAGATAAAAAGTTGAAATTGTAACAAACATTACAAGACAAAAAGCTATTATTGGCTTACAAGCTTAATATGACAAAGCACATAATTATGACTTTTATTTCACAATTTAAATGTTTTATGTTATAGTTATGACCTATTTTTCAACTTCAAAAAATTCAACTTACAATATATAAATTTCTCCGTTTTGTAATTATAACTTTATCTTATATGACTTAGTGGTCATAATTTTGACTTTTTAAATTACTGACTTTTTATTTTATCTCATAATTACGACTTCTTATAATTATGACAGTTTTTTTTTTTTTTTTTGATGTTATGTGGCAGAAATGGACATTCATACATACGCAGAGCTTTAGCAATGTACAAATCTTTAGGAATTATTGCATTTATTTTATGTATATTTCTGTACTTACATTTTTACCATTATACTTCCCAAGAGTCCCAAACCTAACCTCAATCCTAACAAATGGTAACACTTTATTTTAGGGTCTCTTAACTAGCTGCTTATTAGCATGCATATTGTTAGAATATTAGCCATTTATTAGTACTAATTAAGCACATATTAATGCCTTATTCTACATGACCTTATTCTACATCCCTAATTCTAATCCTACCCAATACCTAAACTTAACAACTACGTTACTAACTATTAATAAGCAGCAAATTAGGAATTTATTGAGAGGAAAGTCATAGTTAATAGTGAATAAGACAGTGTTCCCTATTCTAAAGTGTTACCTAACAAATTCTAAACATTTTAAGTAATAGCTAAATGTAAAGTGACAATAATTTTAGTGTGAAAACTTTTCTCAAAGTTTCATAAAATGTGTAGAATTTTTAGATGCTGTCAGTATGTTTATATGTTTCAGTGTCAATGCAAACATACAAAAGTGTCTGTGTACTAGAACTATGCTTTATGTACTAATACCTATGATTACTAATGAGATCAAGCAACTGACTTGCAAACTCACCTCACTCCAGACCAACATGGTGCCGAAGATGACCTGCAGTCCGTCAAAGAAGTTGTCTCCAATTATGATGACAGTAGCACCTCCTGTTGTCCAGCCTTCACTGGGACTAATGGCTTTGATACAAGGTGCAGCTGCTTCCAGAAACGCCACAGGACCGATTTAGAGAAAGCAGAAAAATGGAAATCGACTTTAATCATCTGTGCTTAGTGTAACTAACCAACACTAGCATTACTTGACCATGATTAGAAGTTTTGTAGAGAACTTCCTAACTATCAGGATCAACATTAGTGCGAGGGTTGCAGATTCGGGGGTTAAAGGTGACATTCGAATGCAGTTTCTTTCCTGGGGTCTGAGGGAAGTCTTGACACCTCTCAGTCTCTTATTTCAAGGCCAAAGCAGGAAACCAAAAACACACAAATGTCACTGAGAAAACCCACACAGCTGGATCCAACTACGAGTCCCATACCACACGCTCTGGAAAAGTGTCGGTGGTTTTCACAGCTCTCATAGCACACATTAGGCGTAAAAACAAAGGATCACTTACACCAAGAATTCCCATCCAACTCTACCCAAGCTGGCATTTCTAATACTTTGAGGGCACAATAAGGAAACGCTTCGGTTGTAGCAGAACAGTGAGACATTGCCTCAAATTATCGGCAGGACTGCCAAAAGATTTACTCTTTTAGCTAGACGAATGCATTCAAGAACCTCAATATCCCAGTGTCCAGTATGTACTACTGTACAAATAATTTGTTACTTGGCCATAAGTCACAGTTGATAATGAAATCATAATTTATAGGCTGATGTAGTGATCTAGGATAGTTTTGTTATTTTTGGGGGGTTTCTTCAACTTTTTATGTTGCAGGGTTGATTTGTATTAAAAACAGATTTCATTTTGTTTTAAAGACAACATTAAAACTATTGGAAACTACTTTATTGGAAACTTTTTAACGTGCTTTTTTGAATTACTTGCATTATCATACCCAGTCAATAAAACCATCCTGATTTGCACTTACCTGTTGTGTCTGGCCTTGCTTTGTGACACAAACCTTTTTCCAGTTTAACACTGTAAAGCTGCTTTGACACAATCTAATTTAATCAACATAAATAAAGGTGACTTGACTTGATACTGTATGTATTTTATTGTTTTACTTCTGTCCCAGAAACAGACTCTCAATCTTCAAGTATGAAAATCAATCATAAATATGTAAATTGTTTCATGTTTGGTTACATTTTATTTTTAAATTGTCCTTGTTACAGTGTAATTGTACAAATAAGTACTGAGTACTATTAAGTACATGCACTTACTATATAATTAGGGTTAGGGTTTGGGTTAATTGCTTATAATTATGCATACTTTACTGTTATTACTATAGTAAGAACATGTAAGATGTGTAACAAGGACACCTTAAAATAAAGTGTTACCATATGTTTTATATACTGTATACTATGATAATCTAAACAGAGTTAAATAAGCATAATCCATTTCAAAATGTATTGTATGAAAAAATATATATTGATAAATTTTTACTGTATGTCATTTCAAAATAAACTTTAATTGTCTGTATTCAGGATACATAAAACGCTAGCCGTGAAATTGACCTCAGAAAGATTAGAGTTGGTCATTTTATTTTAAAATGTGAGTAAAATGTGGTAGAAATGTTCTTGACTTTTCACCAGTCAATCAACCAATAAAAAAAATAAAAAATAAAAAAAACTCTTTTGACAGTGAGAGTGTGAAAAATGTCTTAAGAAACATTATATTCCAAAAAGTCCATATGGCCAAAAGTGCCCACACAAACTAATTTTTGTCAAATTTAACACTAGTGAAACTAGCGAGAATGTCAGCAGATCTTGAGTAAGATCCTAAATTGTTATTTGGTTAAAAACCCACAGCCAAACTTTCATGAAACAAACTATATTCAATATCTGCTTATCAATTCTTCAAGTATCCTAAGAGTACACATTAGCATTACAGAGCGGTTGTACGTTCTTCGTGTAAATAATGTGACCTTAGACCTCCTGCTGTAGGAGACATGTGTTTTTGTCACCGGGCGTCGAGGTACAGTGGCTCGTTTAGCGTGTTCTGTTTGTTGCTCTCCGCGGCAGCCGTGGATCAGTGGCTGAGTGACAAAGGGACCACCACGGAGAAAGGTCAGTTTGCTTATTAGAGCTGTCTGCTCCCCTCCGAGACTCAGAGTCTCGTGCTAGCAGGGGGCAAAGAAAGCAATTTAGCCAGCCTGCGTTTACCTGCATTTAGCTCCCAAATGCCAAAGCGTCACTCACAGTAATGGGATATAAAGAGAGGAAGGGTTGTGATGGGCCAGCGTGACTGTTAGATCCACACACTGTGAGATGCAAGTTGGGTGAGATATATTGTAACCTTACTTGGCTAAGCTTAGCTGTTACAGTAAACATGAAGAGTTGAGCCACATGAGGTACAGCAAAACATTTCTTAGAAGCACTAACAATGATTGATCGCTGAAATAAATAGAAAATTGAAAAAAAAAAGATAGAGATTTAAGAAAACAAGAACAAATGCGTAGGGGCAAAGAAAGCAATTTAGCCAGCCTGCGTTTACCTGCATTTAGCTCCCAAATGCCAAAGCGTCACTCACAGTAATGGGATATAAAGAGAGGAAGGGTTGTGATGGGCCAGCGTGACTGTTAGATCCACACACTGTGAGATGCAAGTTGGGTGAGATATATTGTAACCTTACTTGGCTAAGCTTAGCTGTTACAGTAAACATGAAGAGTTGAGCCACATGAGGTACAGCAAAACATTTCTTAGAAGCACTAACAATGATTGATCGCTGAAATAAATAGAAAATTGAAAAAAAAAGATAGAGATTTAAGAAAACAAGAACAAATGCGTAATACATTTCATTGCTCAGTTTTTTTTTTCAGCATTGATTTTATAGATAAATCTGTCATAAATGTATTTATTTTATTTTTATTTATTTTTTTGTCCAGATTTAAATATAGTCAAATGTGTTCTATGGAGCTGAGAATACTTATAACTTATAATACTTATAACACACACACACACACACACACACACATATACACATATACATATGCATATACATATAGTCAAATGTGTTCTATGGAGCTGAGAATACTTATAACTTATAATACTTATAACACACACACACACACACATATACACATATACATATGCATATACATATATATATATAGGCCAATTGAAAACCCTTAATACTACAGTTCATATAAGTTCTACACATCCCTGCTAATATATAGCCAAAATATTTAATAAATGAACATGTAAGGGGTCAGGGATGTGTAGAACTTATATGTAGAATTAAGGGTATTCAAATTCTTTGAAATATTTCCATAACACTTTATTTTGCAGTTTTCATGATATTGCATGTCATGATCATTGATATTACTACAATTATTAGTAGTTTTGACTACACAGTGACTATATTGTATTGTGACTATATAAAGTGTTTTTAACTAATCACTACCATTTTGAACTAATGATCTGTTAAGCATTATATAATGCAATTATATCTATTAAAGTAATAAATGTCAGTCATTTGGAATTTGATAAATAATCAAGTAAAGTTCCTTTGAATCTTAAAAAAAAAAAAAACTGGGCTCTAAAATTTTAAATACCATTTTAAATACCATTTAATACCATTTTAAATACCAATCATTCAGTTATTAGATTTCAAAAAGTTATTTGTTTTTTTTTAACTAATTTGTTATTAGTTTTTTTTTCCTTTTGTAATTTGAAAAACATCCCTAAATCCTAATCACAAGCAGTTTTAGATTACTGAAAAGAACAGCTTCTCATGTTCCGTAAACACATGTTAATCTTCTCTTTTTACATGTCATGCTTGTGTCAAGACGCTAGAAAGGAAAGAAATCCAGACCTGGAGGGTGAAATGAGACATACACGCACACAATTTGGCGTTTGGTGGGGTGGTAAAGCAGGGAAGATGAGGTGCAATCTGTGGCGGTAATCTTGGCGTGAGTGGAGGTTTTTGGCGGAGGCTGAAATGGTAGCTGGATTAAGCAGATGGAGACTCATGAATCCATCTGATAGGATTAAACTTTCTGTGGCTTTCTCTAAGCAACTAATTTGTTATTAGTTTTTTTTTCCTTTTGTAATTTGAAAAACATCCCTAAATCCTAATCACAAGCAGTTTTAGATTACTGAAAAGAACAGCTTCTCATGTTCCGTAAACACATGTTAATCTTCTCTTTTTACATGTCATGCTTGTGTCGAGACGCTAGAAAGGAAAGAAATCCAGACCTGGAGGGTGAAATGAGACATACACGCACACAATTTGGCGTTTGGTGGGGTGGTAAAGCAGGGAAGATGAGGTGCAATCTGTGGCGGTAATCTTGGCATGAGTGGAGGTTTTTGGCGGAGGCTGAAATGGTAGCTGGATTAAGCAGATGGAGACTCATGAATCCATCTGATAGGATTAAACTTTCTGTGGCTTTCTCTAAGCCATCTGCTCATCATGCTGCTCTGACACACACACACACACACACACACACACACACACACACACACACGTTTAATTTACAATGTAAAATGTCTCACACACAAAACACAAGCAAAAGACAGGGGTACGAACACAGGGCAACGCACATTTGAGTAGTTACACTTGATAGACACAATAAAGCACAAAAACACTCATTCTTACATATGTCCTTTTATGTTATAATATATTTGATGAAATATTAAATTCACAATTTTGTGGGTTGTGTTATTCTGGGTTATTACTTGAATATTTATACAATTTTAAACATAAGAATATTAATTTTACGGACACTGCATAACAGGAATGTCATTTTAACAATCTGGATAATTAATATTTATAATATTATTAATAGTAATTCCATCAATAGCTATAAGCAATAGTTCCTGTAGCTTAACTGGTGGGGTTTTGTCTGTTGAGATAATACATTTAAAACTGAATACAGTATATACAAAATAACTTAAAATCACAGAAACTGTACAGTGAATATAAAATCACTGCCCACATAAGGTATGTAGCACATTAGTGCACCATGGACAGATTGCATCCCCTTTCCACGTCCCTAGGGTTTGTGCTTGGTGCTCTGGAACAGAGAGACCGCTTCAGCTGGGATGCGCTCAGCTGAGCCGTTTTTCCTGCTTTCCCTTTCTTATAAACTCATTTAATGCTGTAGGCTGGTGTATTTGGGATCACACACCAACCTCCAGCTCCAAGAGATAAATACATCCAGTCAGTTGTTGTTATCGGAGTTGCCCTCATTGAGTTCATTCTAACTGCTGTTGTCTTAATGAAACATTTCAGACCTTATATGAGGTCAGTTTTGAGCCTATTAGAACCTCAGTAAGCACAATTAATATCATCCCTTCGCTCATAATTCAAACGGCACCTTTATAAACAATATACAATTAAATAGCAGCAGTTGCATGCACTAAAGAATAGTAGAAAAACTTTAGTGGGATTCTTTTCACCCATTTTCCAACCCGCCAAACAGAAAAACGCAAACTTAACAAGCACCACTAATTAAAGCTGTGGACTGGACTGACGTGCTGAGTGTATCCATTGAAATGTAATAAATTGAAACCCTAACCAAAATGAAAAAAAAACAAGCTTTCTGTCAATACAAACTGTAAATCTGTACTTTCTGTCTTTCATCCAAATGCAAACAGACCTCCTGATAGAGCTTGATGCCGCCAGCACGCGGACACAGACCCCAAGAGACCATCACAGCTTATCACACCATATTCATCCATGACAGTAAATCACCACATCATATGTTCTGTTCTTCCACCCAGATCCAACAAATTTCCCTGAACATCTAAATCCTTGACAGGCTAAATGGGACACTGATTGGATTGGTCGGACGTCTAGATAAATACTTCAAGCGTCTTTGTAAAGCATGTCAGCGTGGGCTTGGCCTTGCGCAGATGGGCTCTGGGAAAGCTAACGCTAACTCCACCAAGAGACTCTATAGCTATAAAACATACAGATAATCAAAAACACCCTAATGAAGCCTTTCTGGATTTTTTAAGAGTTTTATTACTTTTAAGCGAATGAGGTAGAAATGGCATTCTGAGACAATTTTTGTCATACATTATTTAAGCAAGGTGTCAGTCGTCACTCGTCAGTAATCCAATGTGATCGATGTGTTGTCAAAAGTGGGATTTTCCACTGCATTACATCAGCAGGATTTTGTATAATGACAATGTTAAGAATACACAGTGTGCACTAAAGCATCAATTTTTTAAATAACGCTATCTGGGAAAGCTAACGCTAACTCCACCAAGAGACTCTACAGCTATAAAACATACAGATAATCAAAAACACCCTAATGAAGCCTTTCTGGATTTTTTAAGAGTTTTATTACTTTTAAGCGAATGAGGTAGAAATGGCATTCTGAGACAATTTTTGTCATACATTATTTAAGCAAGGTGTCAGTCGTCACTCGTCAGTAATCCAATGTGATCGATGTGTTGTCAAAAGTGGGATTTTCCACTGCATTACATCAGCAGGATTTTGAGGCGAATGTATAATGACAATGTTAAGAATACACAGTGTGCACTAAAGCATCGATTTTTTAAATAACGCTAGGCTTTTGCCATGTCTGTCAAAAAGAAATAGCCAAGAACAAAACATTTGAGTGATGGATTAATTACAGAGGACACCAGAATGTTTTAGAAATGTATTGGTTTGTATTTTTCGGCCATTTGTATTGGTATCCAAAACCATAGTGGACAATATTGAGTGTACTCGTTCAATCCCATAATGCACCTCAACAGTGTATGACTGATATAGGCTCAACAGTTGGCCACTAGAAAAAAACCATGCACGAATGAATTCCCACTTACTTTCAGAATTCACTCACTTGTTTGCATTCGCTTATTCAATGGACTATATTAGTGAAGCAATGTAGGGAATAGTGACTGAGAGTATAGGGAAGCTAAACCTAGCTTAGCTTAATTCAGCAGTTTTCATTTAAGATGGCGGATAGGGATGTAACGATTCACTCAACTCACGATTCGATTCGATTCACAATTTTGATTTCACGATTCGATTCGACTCACGATTTATTTTTAACAAAATTCCAGTGGGAAGAATGAGTCTGGAGCCCTGATATGCATTATACAGAGGCAAGAGGAAAAAAAAAAAAACATCGAAAGACAGTAAGTTCCCTCAGACATACATTAATATAAACTCCTACCCCTAACTGAATTGCGATTTGTTTAGCATCTCAACCGATTTGAATCGTCACATATTTAAATCGATTTTCAACCGGCTCACGGTTAATCGTTACATCCCTAATGGCGGATAAAGAAATGTTGACTATAAATGTAGAATTTATTCAATACTGAGAAGCAATGAAATTGTTTGAGTTTGTTCTTTAACCAGCATTCATGTGTGCTGTGTATTTCTATGCTTTTTGGGGTATCATGCTATTAGCTTAGCAACATGCTAACAACAAACTCCACTGGAATTGACTGAGTCGTGTCTCCACGTAAGAAATATAACTATATTTTCAGTAGTACCGCAGAGTACCATATAAAAAGTATCTAACTATATAACTATAATGCATGAATATGCTAATCATCAGTATCATGGTAGTACTATGTAGATGCTCCATACTTAAAAATCTGTGCTTTTGAATTTAACGTGTCTGGCTCTATGCATAATTTGTATCCTCCGCATTCAATTAAACCCCACCATAGTAATTTCTGCAGATGGAGGGATGGGTTAAAGGAATGAGGGAGGGCACAGGTTAGTGCTTTAATTAATCTCTGCTTCATCTTTTACTCTCTCCGCACCACTGGAGAAGTGACTTAAAGGGCCAAAGCTCACGGACGGCTCCGACAGCTAAGCGTTATCTCTCACCAACTCATTCACACTGGATGGAGTTTAAGATTTTGTATCAACACACTATTAATAAAATGTAGACTTGTGTGTGTGGTTATTGTCAGAGGTTTGCAGAGGCTTACTGCATATTTCATCACAGTATAATAAAGTGTGAGTCTACATGATCTGTCAGGGTCCCTGTTCACACACTAGCCAACCTCATCTTGCTCCTTCTGATGCTATTTTTCGTTTTTTTCCTGTTGCAAAACAATTGGGACAGGATGAAGAGGCAGAAAAGACTTTTTGAATCAGTTTGTTCAAATTAACTGTCCGATTCATTAAAACGAATAAGACTTCCCAATTCTATTTAGCAGCCAATTCAACAGAAAGAGGTAAATACAATCCCATTTATCTGCTAAACTCGCTGTGTTAAATCCACAGTAACTCACCGTGCTCCAGATATGACGGCGTTCCCTCTGACGGGTCCAGTCGCCGAGCTTTTCTGCCATGTTTGGAGTTGTTGTGCACAAACATATTTTCCGAAACAGCCAGAACGTGTCCTTCTACGCTCACTGTCGTCGACACAACCACCTGTAAAGGAAGGGTATGGGTGTAAATGACGTATTTTGTCATTTAAAGGTAATGTGTGTCATTTTTGTGTCAAACCGGAGTTGACGCCTCACCTCACCAGCAGCGCTGCAATTAAAGCACTCGCAGTCTCTAATAATTTCCATACTGTACACTAATTAACACCACATACAAACACACTTCTCTGCCTATCCCACAATGCCCTGCTCTCTCCGACTGATTGCTGAGAGGTTGGCTCGGATTAATTCAATTAAAAAACGGGCAGTACTCGAGCGCCCTGAGACAATGGGAAGAATGTAATAAGCGTGTGAGGTTGCCATTATGAGTGGCAGAAACAGGCCTCCTGGTACTCCACATAGAGCCTCTTATTTCAATTGCTGTTGAACTTTGAGAGGAAATTCTGCCTCTTCAAAAAAGAAAGGACTTGGTGAAGAGAGGTAAGTCTCTGAGGGATGTAGCTAACAGTGGTAATTCCGTTGAAATAATTTTCGTCATAATGTTTTCTTTCACTGACGACAACAAGACGATAACGAACTAAAACTCTTTTTGAATGACAAAAACTATGATGAAAATATATTGACATTTTCGTCAACTAATAAAAACGAGACGAAAATGTTAGGGAGGGACGATACGTCGCATAAAACGTTCAAAAATGTCAATATGTGGGAGTAAGAGAAGAGCAGACATATGGATAAATCTGACGACGCAAGAGAGAACTCATTTCGCTTCGGTTTTCTGAGCGCAGACACTGAAGCATACACACACAAAAAGCTCGTCTCACAGCGCGCGAGTACTCTTTCGCGTACCATGAATGGAGAATTACACACAAAATTATGTCGAATTGTCCGTTTTGACGAGTATTCACGTAAACACAGTTGATTACGTCTTAAGTGAACGTAAACAGCAGGGAGAACGTGTATCAGTACATTGCATACATTGCAGCTGTGCATTCAGTTTTAAAGGGATAGCAGCCTAATTTAGTTGCTATTGTCCAAGTCCTTGATGTTAATCAAGCAACAAAAGAAAGACAGAAAATCACGCAGTGCTCTAATTACACACAAAATGATGTTGAATTGTCCGTTTTGACGAGTATTCACGTAAACACAGTTGATTACGCCTTAAGTGAACGTAAACGGTAGGAAGACGTGTATCAGTACATTGCATCCATTGCAGCTGTGCATTCAGTTTTAAAGGGATAGCAGCCTAATTTAGTTGCTATTGTCCAAGTCCTTGATGTTAATCAAGCAACAAAAGAAAGACAGAAAATCACGCAGTGCTCTTGACTGAAAAACGTTAGTAGCCCTAAAGATTAATCTAAATTTATTTATAGAAATGGTAAACAAGTTG